CTAAAAATAACTAATTAATGTAGCATAAATAAATTTTTATGTTCGTTAATTAATGTACTGTAAATTAGTATAAATTTAATTAAATTATTTTACAATTATAATTTGATAATTTTTAGGAGTGTTAACTATATTAATTTAATTTAATTTAAATTAATTTATGCTAATTGAAATTGTTTGTATCGGTTAAAAAATTTAATATAATTGAGTAGTGTTAAAGAATTAAACTAAATTAAATTAATTTTAATTATTTTAGTTTAATTCAGTGTATATTAATTTTAATTATTTTAGAATAATTAATTAGTAATTTTTAGGGGTGTTAGCTAAAATAATTTAATGTAGTTTGTTTTATGTTAAAAATTTGTGAACTGCTACGTTACTTAATTTAATTAAGGGTTGTTAATTAATGTAATATATTTTATGTTTGTTAATTGAAATAGTTTAATTTAATCTATATTAATTTAAATTGATCATAACGATTAATTATAGGAAAAAATGTGTGTCATTTTAAAGGATGTAAAATTGTATTATTTTAAGAAAGAGAAAGAGATAGATAAAGGAGGAGAGAGAGTTGACAAAAAAAGTAAAGATATGGGTCCCACCTCTTTGTGAAAATGAAATGATATAAGTTGTGTCATTTAAAAGAACAAATATTTTTCCCTTAATTATATATGTTAGAACTGTTAATTACTTCTTTTTTGGATTGTTAATTATTTTGTTTTAATTAGCAATATGTTAAGTTAAATTATTTGTAAATGTTAAGTAATTAAATTTAGTAGTGTTAAATTAACGTTATTTAATTTCATTTAAATGACACGTGTCACACGTACACGTAACCAGCTGCTCAGCCCAGCTAGTTTATCATAGTGTGACACGTGTCACACATGCGTTGAGTATTTCAACAGCCGCCACGTAAGATGCCACATAGGCCAGCATTTTAGGCCACGTGGCAGGAGTTGTGTGCGACGTTATCTAGCTGCACTGCACAGCTAGTTACGTGGCGAATCAGGTGCTGCCACGTGGCGACTTCTAACTCACCACGTGGCGTAGCGAGATTAATGATGTGATACTTTGGTAAAAAAAATTTAAGACGTGACAATAATATTTTAGATAAATAGTGATCGTTTTTCCAATCGTTTCGTTATAGAAGATCGACTGTAGCATGACAAATACTTATATGGTCATTTTCTTGTCAAACTTTTATCATTGTGAGTATTTCTTGGGAATGCTTAGTTTCTCTTATTAATATTTCAAGTGAACGGGCACGATCTTCGAGCATTGAGCATTTTTCTTCAGCTTACAGCATTTAATTAACGGACATAAATGTGCCACGTGTTGAACCTAGCTAATCCAAGGACTCACAAGAGGCCAGAATGGTCTAAACATTCAAGAGGTCAATTAGTAATTTCACCTAATTTTGTTTTTCTTCTTTCAGTCTTCTAGATACGCAGATGTAAAGGAGTCCATTAGCATCATATTTATATGCTGCGGTACAATAAGTTGAGATTTGAAATGAAAATTTCTCATTGAACACGTGAAGATTGAGAAAGAGTTCTAAGCCTCCAGGAGTTTCAGAGAAACGGGAGATCTTGGCTCACAGCCGAGAAAAGAGAGGAGAGAGAAAGAAGAATTAATGAGGTGATATAGTGTCTGGGTGGAAGGAATATGTGTCCCATTCATGAACGATAACTGTTTTGAGTAGTTTGAAGTCAAATACACTTCAGCTAGCTTAGCCATCCCCCATGACTTTCTGATACCTCATGATTGTATATATATAAAGGTACTAATATGTAGGGTACAATTTAGATAATAAAGTGTAGAATTTATAATTATTAATTGGAGTTAATGATTTTGAGTTTGATAAGAAAAAAGTGCATAAATTATAAATTACTTTGCGAAAATACATCATATATTTGATTAGAGGATCCAAATCCTATAACTTGATTATAAGATGTTATGAATGAATTCTTGCAAAAGCTCTAATCCGTGAAGGTTCATTGGGTTTGAAGTCTGTACAAATGCACAAGCTAACTACTTGATCACCACTTGACCATGATGGTTGAGTGAATTCACATCGCTATAGCATAATTTATATAATATTTAACACATCTTTTTATGTAAAAATCCTTTGAATTTTAAGCGCAAACCCTCCACTTAGTCACAGTGATTGAACTTTATTATATTTATATAATATCTAAAATTAAGGTTTAGCACCACCAAACATTTGTATTAATTGGTAAGATATTATTCTAACTTAATCACTAGTGTCAAGTTTGAGTTTTTGTTAAGTATGTAACTATATCAAAAAATTAAGTGGAATGTGTTTATTATGTTACATTAGACAATTTGTCTCATGTAACACACAAAAAAGTAGATGAGATATACCTTTTTTCTTTCTCTCTCTTCTTCAAAGTGAGTCCAATTTACTTTTTTATCTATTGCATAAGATAAATTATATCACGTAACACGAGGAAAATTAAACTCAAACATTACAAGAAAAAATCTTATTAGTGACAAAATTTTATGAAATTTCGTCACAAATTTCTGCGTCGCAAGTAAATTTCGTCACAAATTCCTGCATCGCAAGGTCATTTGTAACGAAATTTAATTAGTTGTGTCGAAAATTATCATTTGTGACAAAATTTATGACAAAAATTTTCGTCACAAATAAAAAATTTTCTTGTAGTGAAAAATTAAAGGGTTAACAATTTGCTGCACATACACGAAACTCTGCATAATTTATGTTTATTTCAAATGGTGGGCTCCACTTATTTATGTCTAAGAAATCGTGCTCCTCTTCTATAACAAAAAAATATTGACGAAAATATTTTATAGAACTTTTTTTTTGTCCTTATGATTCTGCCTTGCTCGGACACGTGGAAATTTTTATTTTTTTTTATAAAAAATTAAGGTTCAGCGAGTTTACTAGTTAACAATTAAACTCCTTAGAATCCATAAAGCATAGCATTGGGGCGTGAGAAATCAGTTTTCGAAATCCATACGTACGTACGCTATTGTGCCTTCATTACGCACAAGTATTGTTAATTAGGTATAGAAATTTAGATTGAGAATAGTTCTGATATCAATTCAGTGATATTAAAGTGATCGATAAAGTTAATCTGTCGTTTACCTAAATATACATGTATCAGCGACAAAAGGCGTGCTAATGTTACAGAGAAAATCAATTTTGATGCCCAGACAGACATACATAACGAGTTGACACGTGACTTGTGGGTAGTAACTGCTACGTACCCATAGGAGAAGATAACGAATCTGTATATAATCTGTAGCGGAGATCGAAGAACCATAATTTGCACTCAAATTAATTACGGGAATTGTGAAGTACATGTAGAGACCGGTCAACAATTTCACCTCAAATTTGGAGTGTGAAACTTTTGAGAGTTCCAAATCCAGACAAAAGCCAAAACATCAAAGTCACTCTTCAATGCTTGCTAGAGAGGCAGCCAGAGCCGGTAACATAGCCACTTGTTTGATGCTCCCAACTCCCAAGTGAAGGTTTTGCAAAAAAAAAAAATTGTCTTTTGCTAATTAAGTGATTGTTATTATTATGCATGAATCTTATTTGAAAAAAGATTTTAATTAAAAATACCATGGCACTTTCTACAACTTAGGTTGAAAAAGCTCACAAAGCATGTGAGCAGTTGTGTAGTAGAGTTAGGCCTGTATTCTTTTGAGGATGAAATATTTTGTTATATAGATGCTCTTAGAGACTATGATATATATGAACCAGGATTCAGGAGCCACTGTAGGTACTTCCCAAGTATGATTAAGAGAGAGGAATGTATAAGAATACGGTGACTCAATATTTCAACGGATCGAGTATATAACAATTCATAAAATTAATGGATGATGGGGGATATATATATATATATATATATAGGTGGAATATATTCTCTAATGATACGAGAAATAAAGAGTCATGACCCTTTTTTTTCCACTACGGCACTACCTCATTGCTGGGAGTGAGAAATTGGTACACCAATTATTTGATAGATGAGCTCTACAATGGAGTGAGAGATTTTCTATATTGAGGTGTATGCACTTATTACGAAAAGGCAAGAAAGTGATCCCTTAATGAATCTTTATAGGTTAGTAATTCATATATATATTAGGCTGTGAAGATAAATCTAGAACAACATATAAGTACTATTTAATCATAGTGTTAATAATTTTATTTTATCTTATTAGATTCAAACAGTGTGTCATAAATATAATTACGAGTACTGAAGTCTTGAAATATGAATTTAGTTTTGCCAAAAAAAAAAAAAAAAAAAAGAGAAGGAAAAGATTTAATAATGAAATGATTCAAATGACAAGGAAGTAGTAAGATAACATGGGCTTGTGTGCTAAGACTGACACAGAGAGGTCCCGCGTCGTAGGGTGATAAACAAGCACATTTCAATTAACCCACTTGAACTCTAACCCCAGTTTGGGGACATATTCAGAAAGGACAGTATGGCGTATCTCTCCCTTTCCTCATTCATCTCTTTCTCTCTCTAGCACACAAAACCCTATTAATAACAAGCCTAGCCCACTGCTTTCTCCCATGCACTTGTCCTCTTTCAACGCCCAACACCCACTTACACCTTTCTCTCAAGCTTTCTTTCATGGCTCCCCTTATCACTCTGTCGTCCCTCACCTGCCTCAACTTCTTATAAAATTTTTATTATATATATAAAAAATAAAATAAAAAACTTTTTTTTCACTCTTAAATATTCCTTGTGGTTTGCAAGCTCCATACCCATTCTCTCTTTCAGAGATACAGCTTCATTAGTTTTCAATTTTCTCTGATTCTTCTCTGACAAACCCACTTCCTATTTGTCCCTGATCTGCTGAGATACCCCGAGAGCTTATTCCTTGCTCTCTCTTCCATCTCTCTCTCTCTCTCTCTCTCTCTCTCTCTCTCTCTTCTTTCATTTTTTCCTTTGAACAAACTAAGAGCAACAACAAATATTTCTGACACATACACAAACACGCACACTCACCACGTCTTCTTAATTAACAATGTCTAGCAGAAGATCACGTTCGAGACAATCCGGTGCTTCCTCTGAGATCACTGAGGCTCAAATCACCGATCTCATCTCCAAGTTACAACAACTTATCCCTGAGCTTCGTGCAAGGCGTTCCGACAAGGTATTAATGTTGCATTTTTCCTATCTCTTTCTTTGTCCCTATCTCTCTCTCTCTCTCACTCATACACACACAATACTCACAAGTCATCACATACTCAAAACACGGACACATTGCACATTTTGTGTGGCCTTCGTTTCCTTTGGTAGATAACTCACGCTATTGTTTCTCTTTCTCTCTCTCCCTTAATTCTTTAACCACAACTTGAGGCTGCTGAGAGACTCAGATTCATTGACTAAATTGCACTACCAGCACCTGCAAGTTGTGTATTTAAGAAAAAAAATAAACAAATTAACAAACATTATATTTAAATTGTAATTTTCTCGTTCTTGTAGGTTTCAGCTGCTAAGGTATTGCAGGAGACTTGCAACTACATAAAAAACTTGCACAGAGAGGTTGATGATCTAAGTGAACGATTATCAGAGCTTTTGGCCACAACAGACTCCAACAGTGCTCAAGCAGCCATTATTAGGAGCTTACTTATGTAATAATAATCTAATTATAGCTAGTGCATTTATAATGTCGTGTGCATGTCCATTTCTCACTTTATTATTATCCTCTCTTGTGGGTAGGGTTTGGTTTGTAGACCAACGCAAAGGGCTACCATATGGGCTCTATGTTAGTCCTTAATTAGTTTTATGTAACACTTTGTAGTGATTATCATCAGCTTCTCTATAGCTGTAAATAAAATGGACTACATCTTTATGAGTTCTAATTAGTATCAATAGTATGGATATAATTTTTTTTTTATCGCTGCAGAGAGTTGTGATATTGTGATATGAACATATATATATTAATTGCATTTTTATATATATACATATAGGGTCAAATGATTTTCAAATTTAGAGGATGGAATACTTGAGCAGTTTGATCTTAGTAATATATCTTATGAGAGAAACTCTCCAGTTATTGTGGACCCATTAAAAGGGTCAAGCTTGGAGCTCATGACAGTGCCTATTAATTACATGTGACATTACCCCACACCATTTTCGATCGGTTATTTGTTCTTGCCAACCCGTGATATTAATGTTGGAAATTAGGACCACAATATAAAATAACTAACTCATGATCCAACCATGATATTTGCCAGCTTACATTTAAATATCCATCTATATATGTTGTTACATATATGCAAATGTACCATATGTATATACGGATAATCACAAGATCTATGTATTGTTCCCAAATACGAAAGTAAGAAAAATGATGTTATCGTAGGTAGCTATATATATATATATATATATATATATATGGGAAAAATGTTTCTGCAGTTAATGCATATAAGTTATCTGCGTTCATTCCCAAAACGACGTCGTTTTGGGATTGAAATCTTAAAAAATTATAAATATAAAGACTATTATAACCCTGAAATAAATTAAAATTACAAAAATATCATGATTTCCGCCCCAAAACGACGTCATATTGGGCTTACTGCAGATAATTATTTGCAGTAACTGCAGAAAAGTGAACCCTATATATATATATATATATATATATATATATATATATATATATATATATATATTCCCATTGAATGTGGTAAAGTAAATAGGGACATTGACCGTACTGTCCCATTTTTGAATATAATATACCTGAATATTACTGAGTCAACTTTTTTTTTCAAACTGTCACGGCATCATGGTCGCTGAGGTAGTCAGCTACTATGGACTGGACACATGTCACGTCCCTAGTGGCTCGACACGCAGCTCATTCAACCTAAAGTCGCTGAGATAGTTAGCTAGTTTGGTGTAACCAGGCTTTCTAGCCGCTGAGAAAGTGACATGTGTCCCGTTCATAGTAACTCACTACCTCAGCGACTATGGTGTCGTGCAGTTTGAATTTTTTTTTTGACTCTGTGACATTCAGAAATATTATATTCAAAAAGGGAGCAATACAATGTCCCAAGGTAAATATGTTCGTCCCCAAATTTAATTCTCCAGCTCTAGCTGGCTCTCAAGATAGTTGGCTAGCTAGCCATGTTCTTTGCTTAGCTTTAATTTAACTGTTTCTCTAGTCAATTTTATATTGCAGTAAGGTGAAAACAAATATCATGACCCCACACACCTGCAGGTACCATTCCCATGCAATATGTGGTGGGGGAAGGTTGTTTCATATTGTCTCCTGGACCCAAAAACACAAAAGCTAGATGCATAATGCAAATTAAATATAGGACTAGACATTTAGGCAATGAGAAATTCTGGGTCATTAATTCAATCTTAAATTGATTTTAATTCAGGGTAGGGGGAATTTTCGGGCATTCTTGTGAAACTCTGTTATTGCCGTGTAATGTGCTTTAATATCTCAAGCCTAAACTTTTTAATGCAATGTTTTTGGACGCATATATATATGTTCTACAAAAATTATCAACAAGTTGCTAGCCATAACCAGCTATTTCATCTGTGTTTTATGATATGTTGATGCATTGGCGGACCTGTATTGTTGCAAGTGTGTGCAAGTGCACACACAAATTTTTTTTTAAAAAAAATATATAAAATATATTTTGAGTCCTCAATAAAAATTACATATTCCAATTTAAACTTTTAGAAAAAAAAGTCGTCTCTCAATCCTTTTGAATTCCAAAGTAGATCCGGTTATTCGAAATTGTGATCCCTCTGAAATTCAAAGAAGACCTACATTAATCTCTCAAAAAGACTAACATGGGTCTATTTTAAAATTCAGAGAGATCACGAGTGAATTTTTTTTTCAAGAGATTAAAATGGGTCCCGTAATTTTTATTGAAGACCCAAAAGGTACTTTATTTTTGTAGTAAGTTCAAGTTTTTTTTTTATTCTTTTATTTTTTAATACATTTAAAACTTTCTTTAAAAAGAAAAATTCGGGAACATTGTCTTCGAACCTGCATCCCTAAATATGCAGACATAAATAATATTTCTTGGATCCGCCACTGTTGATGCCTTCTACGTTGAAAATTATGCTTCAAATAATTGGATATTGTCGCATAAAACGATTCGGTTGTAGTTTGAGCTTAGAGGAATGCTGATTTTAAGTTGCCAATTTGAAGTTTAGGGTATCAATATATCTTGCATCAGTTGGCAGTTGCGCATTACTTTTTTTACCAACGATATAAAGTTCACGGAGAAAAAATGAGAAAGAATTAGAAAAAGGAAGAATTTGAAGGGGGGGGAGGGGGGGGGGGGGGGGGGGTATTCATGGAGGAAATCAACAATAATGGGAATTAGTTCTTTTGGCAAAGATTGAAACACTTTGTTTCAAAGACTTGAATTTTATTTTGATGTAAACCGTCGTTTTTGTTAAATAATATTTTTATGGGATTAACATTTTCCTGCAATAAAAGATAAAGTCATTTTTTGCAATTTCAAAATGATGTTATTTTGAAGTTTTAAAAAAACAAATACAAGGTATTTCAGTAAAATTCATTATATAAGAGAAAAGTAAAATTTTCAAAATGCCCTACAATTTTTTCTTAAACCCCAAAATGTCATTATTTTGGGGTTGTTGTGATCAGTGTTTTAAAACCCCACTCCACCCCGGGTTGACCCAGGTCAACCCTGACCCATCCCTTCTGAGGGTTGGGGTCACAAGTTGGACCCTATATGCACATCGATCCCTCCGACTCTCAAAATCCGGCCGGGTTTCAGTGACTCCCGGGTCAAAGGAGTCAAAGGGGGTCACTGCATGTTTTTTTTTAAAGAAAATTCAATGAAACAACGTCGTTTTATTAAAAAATAAAAATAAAAATGCTTGCAAACCTAAATCTAATCGTTCTCTTCTCTCCAAACGACCTAGACTTGTGGTATCTTGATAACTTGGTATCATTAGAATATAAGTTTTGTACTTTGGTATCTTGATACTTTAATTAGGTTGTGTAATATTAACTTGTGGTTATAATTGGTGAATTATGTTAAGGATATTTTGAATCTTTGATTATTGGTGATTTGTTTTTTAATATTTTCATATAGGATATATATATTTATATTTTTTTAATATATAAAACCGGGTCAGCGTAGTGACCCCATGACCCCCCAGTTGAACCCGTGACCCCGTGACCCCTGACCTCGGCCGGGTCGATGGCCGGGTCGGGTTTTTAAACACTAGTTGTGATAACTTTTTTTGCGGGTGAAATTAAATATATTTTCCTATTTTTATTGCTATAAATCTTCACCAATATTGTTTATGACATCCTCCCACATCAGAGTAGGTGACCTCTTCTCTCCTAAAATTTGTTGTAAAAACAAATTCGCAATGTATATAGGCTATGAAACATCGACACTTCAAAAATTTCAACGTGTTGTGTCCGACACTTCCCGAAACTCTGACACTCCGGCATTCTCCGACACTTCAACGCGCGTTGTAGAAACTCAAAAAAAGATTCAAAGGTTGCGCTGCGTTGCATTTTTATTTCTAACTATTAGATTCGTTGGATTACTATTACCATTTTATTGAATTTAATATAAATATTTGTGATATCTTATATTTTTTTGCATAATTAATGAGTATTATAAGTTTAGCTTAATTTTTTTGTTAAATTATTGAATATTAAATATAATATACGCAATATAAATTAAAAATATTATTTAATATCAAAACGTGTCTTAACATGTCGAAATCTAATATTTTTTACAATTAACGTATCAAAGTGTTGTGTCGTATCATATCGTGTCTGTCTCGTGTCGATATCGGTGCTACGTAGTATATAAGTGCATGTTAACTAAAAAGAATAAAAATTTAAAGAGTATGCCAAAAACTTTAGGATTTTTCTTAATTAAACGGAACGCTATATGCAAATGCAAAAGCAATGCACAAATGTTATATATAAAAAAAATCAATGCACAAATGGAAATAAATAAATAAATACATATATAAAATAAACATTCACTTAGAAATTTATCAGCTCTCACTTTTCAAAATTATATGCGTGTGTCTAGTTTTGTTTTTATTTTAGAAATTCTTATATATTATGGTATTATGGGAATACATTGAAATTTTTTTTCAAAGGATAAAATGTGTGCATGTTTCTTCGCGTCTATTTTTTATTTTATTTTCTTAATGCATCTTTTGAGATATTCAACTTTAATGAGTTTCACATTGGTTGGTAATGAGCTAAGTCAAGTGTATATAATTGGATGGACCCATTAACTTAATGCCTAAGGTTTTGGATTGTGATATAGTGTCTAATCCACTTGTTGTGGTTTACCTAACTTAGTCCATTAATGGTAATCCCCCGCTACGGGCTCTTCCTAGACTCACCTAACAATACTTTCATATGAGGTAATTAATGTGAAGAAAAGAGAGAAAAATAGGTCTTACACACTTTTATATTTGTAGAAAATAAAATTTATCTCCTTTAATATAAGAAATGTTAAATCTTTAACATATATATAAAAAGAAATTTAAATATGGCGACCCAAATTGTTAGCATGATTTCGAGACACCCATCGTTCAGAGCAAATATCTAGTGCTTCTGGACCAATGCACCGCAAGAGAGAGGAGAGAAGAGAAGAGAGAGAGAAGAAGAAGGAGGAGAGAGAGGATGCCCAGAGATTAATTTCCCATCGAGAGGAAAATTTTTTAGAGCTCTGAGCTACGTGTTCTTTTTTTTATTATTATTATTTTGGTAGATTTACATGCTCTTTCTATTAAGAGACTCACATTTGAATAAAAAAATAATTATTTTCTTTTTTCTCTTTTTAATTATTATGTGATTTTATTTGATCCGGACCACCAAATCAATAGTATTCCAAGTGCATCAAATTTTTTCTCTATCCAGAGGTAATTTACGTTAATCTAATTGTAGTGAAATTAACTATTAAAATTGTAATTGTAATTTTCATTAGTATATAGTAAATGCTCTGTTTTTCTCCTTTCACATCAGAGGAATTTTTTTCCAACACACACATATTTTAGGTGGGTCACATCATTAAGAAATTTAAAAAGACGTAGATCAATATACGAGTGACATAAAAAATATTTTTTTCAACAACATGATAAAGTATTTCCCCGTAAAATTATCCTATTCCTTTCCCAAGATTCCAAAACACAATATTTTTAATTTTAAATGAATTTTAATATTCTGGTAATGTAATTTGTTACTACTATCATTTTATGCAATATTTTAAAAATTATTGACTTTTATAATCACTATCTAAAACGTCTAATTTTTTAATAATATATCGGGTATATTCGATAATGGGTATATTCGATAATAAAATAAAAATTCTATTAAAGTTATAAAGAAATAAATTTAAACTTTTAAAATTTTCTTAAAAGGATTATTTATGGAAAATCATCTGTTCGCACTTCGTGCACTATTACTAGTTTAATATGACTATTCATCGAACATAGCTAATGCATTTATTTTTTTGAAGTTTCATATTCTTATTTATTCCCAAAATAAATAGTTTGTTAAGTATCTATCGAAAAAATAATTTGAAAACTTTGAAATAATAATGTTAGATCTTTCAAAAGGCAGCGGTCAAGGCTTACAATTTTTATTTTTTATTTTTTGAAAAAAAATCCTTTACGCATTTTTTGAAAATCGCACGGGAAAAAACTTAGATTAAGATTACGTATGTGTGAGGATATTCTCCAATTAAAACATACAGGTGTATTTTATAGCTACCCACATCCTTCATTTTAAAATTTTCATAATTGCATTACCCAAAAAAAAAAAAGGATAATTGAAATCTAAAAACTGGTACTCATGTTAGAAGAATAATGACACAAGCATCGGAAGAATTTTATTTAAGTTCTGTCTAATATTATAAGATTTATGTTCGTACAACAGCCCTTTTAGGTTTAAGTGTGAAAGAGAAATCTAAATATACATGTAATGACCCATTAATTTTATTTTAATCTGGAAAAATTGAAAAAACCTTTTTATTTCACAAATTGCCCTTTAATAAAATTTTAAAATTAAGATTCGGTAGACTAAATATGTACAAGAAAGGGTGAGAATTTCATCTCAATGCATTTCTGATACATGCATTTAAAAAATGGTTATCATAAGTGAACTGTGTAAATTATTGACAACTTTGTAAAAGAAATTGATTTGTTCCTCAATCATAAAAAATATTTTTGAAAGTACAAACTAAATTATAAAAAGTTTTTTTTTGGGTTTGATGAGATGATTCTTGTTTCGAGGTATCCTTTGATACAATGAGGAACTCAATGCTACGTAGATTTTTAGAATATATGAATGCATTGATCAATTTTAATTTTGAAAAATTTAGAAAGAATTTTTTTTTGAAATGGGTTCGCTTTTTCTATAGTGAATGTATATAACTTATCTGCATTGAGTCCAAAATGACGTCATTTTGAGGCAGAAATCAAGGTATTTTTTAATTATAATTTATTTCATGATTGTAATAGTCTTTTTCATTATAAATTTTTAATTTTTTAACCCAAAACGACGTCATTTTGGAGCAAATGTAGATAACTTACAGAAACACTAATGCGTTTTTAAATTTATTTAATTGAGTTTGAGAATTTTAGATCATCATATCATTGTTGCCAAAATGATCTAAATAAAGTCATAGAATTAATAAATTGTCGCAACCTAGTTAATCCTTGAAAGCATAATTAGTTTTTGCCATTATTTTTTTAAAAAAAAATAATCAATTTTCTAAGAAAAGTTTGAATCACGGAACTGTCATAATTAAAATTACGAGATTAATAAGGCATCACAGCTCAATTGATCTCCTAAAAATAAAACAGTTTTAAAATTTATACAAAATATTAAATTAAAATAAATTTGATCCATTAAACTATCACAACTAATAAAAAGTCCACGCGGTATTTAGCCTCATTGACAAATTGGGTTACGGACATATTGTCCAAATCATGATCAAGTGAAATGAAATTTTTTAGAGAGGTACAAGATGACTTTGGGACAAACTTGGCCATGCATTAGTGTGATCGTGCTACTAAGATGCTAGGTAAAATTAATCATTGATAGCGATCTCTCATTTCATATATTAGTAAATAATATATATCTAAGTTTCTTTTAGTTGAATATATATTATCCGCATGTATAAAAAAAAAAGAATATATATTATCCGCAACCTATCTTTACTTCAATATACTTATATACAAAATCAAACACCAATCATCATCCCTATTTGCTAAACTTATTTACCTATATTGGTAAAGGGAAGTTTAGCAAATAGGCAATAGCCGAGTCTTGACGTGGTGATATTTATCTGTGTTCATATCCCACCGTATGTAAATTTTCATTTCAAAATCATCTTATCAAGTACTGGACAATAAATATACTGGGTTTTGTTGCTTTCTTAATTTTCATGGTGAATACATGTTCTAAGCTCAGAAGCCCAAAACTGAATTTAACTAACTTGAACCTTTCTGAAGCCCAAAATAGTTTTTTGAGCCGGTCCCATCCTTAATAGTGAGCCATGGCCGAAGTGAATATGCAAATTAATTCGAGCTAGGCCTATTCCTAAACCTAAACAAACACAAATTTTAAACATGTTAATTGGTTCATTATGTAACCATTTAAGGTAGCATAATTTTTAGTCCTACTTACACAACTTAACAGCTCATCTAATTGTATTTGTATTTATATTTTTGTGGGCAATTTTTATTTTATTTTATGATACCGCATAAGTCCATTTGTCATGATTTTTTATTTTTTTTGTTGGTAAATATCCATTTGTCATGATTTAAGAGTGCATAATATATATTATATATGAACTAAAAATTTATGCTTCGAAATACACCACCGTTCTTAAATCATTTGTGAAAAATATTTATGTGCAAATATTATTTTCCCTTTAGTAAACAAAGTGTATTCTCTTTCAAGTAATTGAGGAAAATAATAATAAAAAATGAATAACTCAGTATCACTTATACAAAGGCATTTTCAAATCTTACCCCAACTAGTCACAAAATCATGTTTAATTTCTTAAACAAAAAAGCAGAGAAAAAGAGAAAATAAATAAAACAGGAAATGTTTACCAAAAAAAATAAAATAAAAAATAAAACAGCAAATTTAGTTTAAACTAATTGTCGTGGGTACTTTAGGCCCAGGCCCAGGCCCAGGCCCATGATTCAACTTGACCCATGAATATTCTTATTAAAATCCAAGGTAGTTTCAACTACTCTGGCAACTCTGCTTCAGAAACAGTGAACAGTAGGGAATTGCGTCGCATCGCTTTCTTCGATCCGAAAGGTGGTGCATGCATCTGATTCATCATAACTAACCCAGTTTGTATTTTAGGTCATACATAAGAAATTGTCACACAATTTTAATCTTGGAGTTGTTTATTTGGTGTGTGTACATGTTGTTTCAGCATACACCTGAAAAAACATGAATTCTGGTGGGTACGCTGTAGAAGTTACTGGTCTCTCACCCGAAGCCACCGACAAGGATGTCCGTGACTTTTTTTCTTTCTCTGGTTCCATTGAGCATGTCGAAATTATCAGGTTGGACTTTTTATTTAAATCATATTTTATTAGCTTAATTATTATTTGTTGATGATTTTGATATTTTTTTTTTCTTTTAATGGTTCATAGCTTATGCACTCTTTGATTTTGGTTATTGATCACTTAATGGGGGATGAGTTTATTCATATACGCGAGGCATTATTAACTAACTGTAGATTGAATCAACTAATCAAAGTTATCTAACTAATCAACTTACTATAACTGATTCAGTTAGTGACGTTGCATATAGGGAAGAAACAAGACCTCACTGAATTGAATTGCTCATGAAATATATTCCTAAGTTTTACTCAATCACAATGCAGCCACCTACCCTTACCCATTTCCTAATGTGTGTGTAGTATATCCTTGGTGTCATCACATCAAGACTTGGTTCTATACTTTGCATTTGGTTAATGTAACATAATCTTTTTGGCTCATTGTTCTGAATATATGTAAAAAAACCTTCAACTAATTTTTAGGTTGAACTAAACAATTAGACTTAGTCCCTATAGTGTTACCCGATTTCGATTTCGGTCACTTAGTGGCTGATGTCTTAATAATTGGAACTATAAGGATCAATCATTTTTGGAAAGTAAGGACCAATATCTTAACGAGTGGAAACTATATGGGTAAAAACCCAAATGAGTGGAAAATATAAGAACCAATACTTTAATACTTGGTACCAAAATCAAAATGAGTGAAAATATAGGGATGGATATCTAAAAAAGAAAAAGCAACTATAGGGACCGAAATTCCATAGACATAAGGGAATGGGCACCCGAATGAATATTCCATCGGACATTTTGGAGATGATTGTAAATATTCACTCGGTGTGTATGAATTAGTTATGAAGTCATTGATATTTTCCTGAAGGGATCATTCTTATTTTCCTGCTTGTAGAAGAGGATTGATCATTGATGTTTGATAATGCCAATTGAGTATTTGAAATGAAATTACTTGTAGTATTGGATTTTACCATAAATTTGTTTGAGATATTATTGATTTTTGGCATAGTATTTACTACATAGAATTTGATATGATACTTGGTTATTGCCGAGGCCAGGTCTGGTGATTATGCTTGTACTGCTTATGTGACGTTCAAAGATGCATATTCTCAAGAAACTGCATGCTTGCTCAGTGTGAGTATTTATCATACTTAATAATATTTAAGCTGGAATGATCTTGTAGTCAAGTGGTCATTAGCTTGCATCGACGAAAAGATCCATAATGTATTTTGTTGCTCGTGCCTTTCTTCATAACCTGTTCTGTTAGGGAGCCACTATTTTAGATCAACGTGTATGCATAACACGCTGGGGCCAGCATGAAGATGAATTTAATTTTTGGAACCAGCCCTCCTATAGTCATGAGGAGGATACTGCTTCAACTGTATGTATCTATCTGTATTTCTTTCAGTTGTACTAATGATTATGGTTTTATGCTCATAGTCTGACATTCTATGTTCTTACTTGTTCTCTTTCAGACACAACAAAGCAGTCAATTTGTTTCTTCTGCTGGAGAAGCAGTTACTATGACTCAAGAAGTCGTCAAGACCATGCTAGCAAGGGGATATGTTCTCAGTAAGGATGCATTAGCTAAGGCTAAAGACTTTGACGAGTCTCATCAGGTTTCTGCCTCTGCAACAGCGAAGGTTTCTGAACTGAGCCAGAGAATTGGCCTCACTGATAAGATCTGTGCAGGTGTTGAGGCTGTTAAATCTGTCGATCAAAAATATAATGTCTCTGAAACAACCAAGGCAGCTGCATCCGCAACAGGAAGATCAGTAGCAGCTGCTGCAAACTCTGTTATGAATAGTAGCTATTTTTCAAAGGGAGCCATGTGGGTATCAGGTGCTCTATCCCGAGCAGCTCAAGCTGCTTCTGATTTGGGTACCCGCGGTGATAGGAAGTAAGGCACTGAAATAATTCAACTCTATCTTGTATATCTGTCTGCCTCTGTTAAATAGCTTTTGTAACTATATACTTTTCTACTTTTACTGTTCCTAGTGTTTGTAATTATGTATATATGTAGTGTATACCAGGACTGGGTTGAACAATGGAACCTTCGCTGGTTATACTACTGTATTTTGATCCTAACTTTGCAGTACCACGCTAAGGTAGACAGCAAGGGATGGAAATATTTATGATTTGTTAGGATAACAGGATAGAATATACAACACCACAACAAAGTGTATTATTACCTCATTCTGATTATTAGAGTAATATTGCTTGCAATATCCTTTCTTTTTTCACAAACTATGCACCAATAGCTGGTGCAGCTAATTTGTCTCGGAGTGATCCAATTTAGATATAGAAGATGCTTTGGAATTGTGATATTTAAACATAGAAAATAGCATCAGAGTATTTGTATTGTTTTTGGCATGACCAAGGTTGATTATTTAGGAATTAGGACATATAGTCTCAAAGAAGGGGGTGGCTATGGATCCCAAAAAGGTAAAGTGTGTTCTACATTGGTCTCTCAAGTCTCAAGGCATTGAGAGGATTCTTGGGTCTCGTTGGCTATTACTGTCGGTTTGTAAGAGACTGTGGTATAATTGCCCGACCTTTGACTGCCTTATAAAAAAAGGGGCTTTTGAGTGGACTGAATCTGCTGGAGAAGCTTTTCAAAATTCAATACTGCCATGACAACTGCACCAGTACTTTCTTTGCTAAATTTTTCTATCCCCTTCATCATTGAATGTGATGCTTCAGGCACTGGAATCAGAGTTGTCCTGATGCAAAATAAGCATGCGACATATTTTAGCAAGGCTCACAGTCCTTCCACCTTAGCAAAGTCTATTTACGAAAGGGAGTTGATGGCTTTAATTCTGGCCATCCAACATTGGAGAGCTTATTTGCTGGGCAAGCATTTCACAATTTACACAGACCAAAGGGGCCTCAAATATTTCCTAGAACAGCGCATCACTACCCAGGACCGGCAGAATTGGCTGGCAAAGCTACTTGGTTATCAGTTTGATATTGTGTATAAAATGGATTCTCATAATTTAGTGGCAGATACTCTATCAAGGAGGAAAAATGATAAGAGCTGGGAGCTATTTCTAGCCCATTATGGCAGGACATTTCCTAGTGTGGATGAAGAAGTTTCAAAAGGATCCCGTGCTGACCAAAATTATTAATGATTTGAAAGAGGATCCAAATCCCCACTCACATTACAGTTTGGAGGGAGACAAACTACTCTACAAGGGAGGCTGGTGTTGGCTGCAAATTCCACTTGGATTCCTGGACCTCTACCAGAGTACTATGCTTCACCTGCTAGAGGACATGCAAGAATATTTAGGACCTATAGGAGGATTGCTCAATCTATTTTTTGGGCAGGAATGAAAGGCACCATCACTGAATTCATGGTTGCTTGTCCCATTTGCCGGAGAAACAAGTACCAAACTTCCTCCCAGAGCGGGTTTACTTCAGCCCCTCCCAATGCCCATGGAAAGTACTAAGTATGGATTTTATAGTTGCTCTTCCTAAATTCAAAGGTCATGACAGTATTCTGGTGACAGTGGATAGCCTGAGCAAATATGCTCACTTTATCATGCTCAAGCACCCATACTCTGCCAAAAGCATTGCTGGAATCTTTATTAAGGAGATTGTAGGACTCCATTCATATTCAAATTTACAGATGTGGTATTTGGATGGAGCTTGTTGAAATTTGTGGCTAATCACGACTGCTTATATCTTCTAAGCAATAGCTGGTTATCTTGAATCTTGATTCTCCCTCATTAGTGGAGTCAGACTAACTTTACACTCGAGTTTGAATGTCTTGTCAATACTATTTTGGCTCATTGTTGATTTCTTTAGATGATTATATCCCTTGACCTGCCCTTGTGCTTCACTCTCTGCTTTTGCCAGCAGTGTTATTGCAACTCTCAAAAGTCAAAACTGCCAAATCTGTCTAGCAGTTCCTTCAAGTCTTCAGGATTTCATTTTGGTTAATGATTAGGATATCTAATTGACTACTAAGTTGATATTCTTTAGCCCGTATATGTTCCTAGGCAATTAGAACAACATGTGAAGTATGCTGACCTTCTAATCCAGGGAAGGTCGCATCCCATATTCAAACTCACTCGTCATGTAAACTAACCAGCACAATTGAAAGCTATTGATGCATACAGTGAATAAGTTTTATAGTCAAGGTTATTCAGTCAATCAGTGGTTACAATGTGTAAAAGCTCAATTTGGTGAGTTAATCTGGTGTTCTTAATTGCTTAATAAATTTGACAATAGGCAAAATTCTGTTTTATCCAACCTGTTAATCGTGTAAGTGATCTTTGCCCTATGAAGCATTGTTGCATGTATAGAACACATACAGTACTTCTTCTTTGGGTAGGGTACTAAATTTGTCGCAATTATTACGCGCTCAGTGTGGAACCATCTCTATTGGATATGCGCCGTTTTCAATTTTTTTCACCTTTCTTTATTTTTTAAAAGTTGTAAATTAACGGTTTTAATTATAAATATTTATTTTTTTATATTTAAAACAACAAAGGATATGAATTACATCGATATAAGATTAAGAAAACTTAGTTATTAATCTACTTATATTTAATAGCCCACTTATATTTATATAGTTATATAGAACGATTTTGTCATAAACAAGGAGATATTAATAGTATGTAACAAATGCTTAGCTAGCAGTAACTCAATAGTCAAATTGCATCAAACACCCTTGGCATATGTGGTAAAGAGTTTGGATCGCTTAATTAGAGGTCTCGAGTTCGAGTCCTGAAAATGAAAAAAAAGAATTTGAGAGAATTGTCCTCTTTAACAATAGAGTTTGACAAGTGCTCGAACTGGATGTAGTTCGAAGGGTTGGAAAACTAAAAAAAATAGCCACATTGCAACATCAGAGCTGGCGTTGACGCAGGTATGCTATATGTTGTCTTTATAGAGTTGCAGGTAATCCATCTATGTCCAATAGTTGGCTGGTCAATTCCATCCCGTATTGATGCTAGGGTTAATCATCTTTAATATATTAAAATGTTAATAGTATAAATATAAACTGAATTAGTTGGAACTGTTAAAACTTCGAATAACGATTGATATTTAATAAAAAAACGAGTTTGTTCCTTTTATATTACCTGCGTTTTATATATAAGATTAATGTTTCTCGTGTTATAGAAAATAATCTTATCTCTTATATACACATAAAAGTGAATTAAGCTCATATTTTCTTTTTCTCTCTCTTCTTTTCATATGACCTCACACACTTTTATGTGTGTAAGAAATAAAATTATCTCATATAAATGAGAAACATTAATCCCTTTATATATATATATATATATATATATATATATATATATATATGGGAAAAGTATTTCTCCAGTCACTGGAGATAAAGTTATCTCTAGTGAGCTCAAAACGACTTCGTTTTGGGTTATAAAATTAAAAAATTATAATGATAAAGACTAATATAACCCTGCAATATATTAGAATTACAAAAACACCTTGTCCCAAAACGATTTCGTTTTCGGCTCACCGGAGATAACTTATCTCTATTGACTGGAGAAATCATTTACCCTATATATATATATATATATATATATATATATATATATATATATAGGGTTCGCTTTTTCTACAGTCAATGTAGATAACTTATCTACATTGAACTCAAAATGACGTCGTTTTAAGGCGGAAATTTTTGTAATTATAATTTATTTTAGGGTTATAATAGTCTTTTTCATTATAATTTTTTAATTTTTCAACCCAAAACGACATCGTTTTGGGAGCGAATGTAGATAACTTATCTACATTCACTTTAGAAACATTAAAGCCATATATATATATATATATATATATATATATATATATATATATATATATATATATATATATATATATATACGGTAAAATCATTTCTTCGCTTTACGTACTTCAACGACAGGTGTATTGTTATGATTCTCCACATTTAATGCTTTCATCTTTTATATGATTATGATTCCCCGCATTTAATGCTTTCAAGTATATATATGACAAGTATTTGATTGCTGCACGTACAGTAACTGCAGAAATGTAAACCCCTATATATATATGATCAACTTACACCGGTGTAAGAATTATAAGTCTTACATCAATTTTAGCTGTTGATTTCCATTAATCAAACAGTAATTGATTGAGTTATTTTCATTATTCTTATACTCGTATAAGAAAATTCTGTCCATATATATGGGAAAATTCTTAGACATGGACAAAATCATTCTATAGATGTTGTTTTAAAATTATAAAAGAAATGCATTTTATAAAAGATTGATCACAATATTTTACAATAGTGTTTCTATCTTAATAACAAGTTAATTAGAGATTACATTCTTCCGGGGAAAAAGAAAGTAGTGTAGTGTAGTTATTAGATTTAAGATATTCCTATTCATCAAGTGGAAAAAATGTTCTGTTTTGCACCTACACTTCCATTCTTTCTTCCTCTCTCTACCCCAATGTTTGCATTTATCTATCAAATAAATGGCATTTTCAAGATGTTGCCTATCCAAGAAGTGTGCTCCGCAATGGACGGTTGATGCATGGTTTATCTGTTTTGCTCATAAAGTTAAAGAACATGACCACAAGAAAATATTTAACGAAAAAAAAAAAAAACCAGGAACATAGATGGAGCAGTAGTTGAAGAATCATCGTCAATGCATATCTCCTCTTACAAGAAAAATCTCAAAAATAAAAACATTTAAAAAATTGGAAAGGAGGTTTTTTATTTTTTATTTTTTAAGGGAGCATTCTCTAGAAAGAGAAAGCTGTCAAACAAAGATATCACAAGAAATTAGAGTAAGCTAAAAACACTAGAAGCATTAGAGCATGTGGATGAGAAGATTCATAAGCTATTGTTCCCACTTAAAATTACATTTTTATTGATATGGCCAATTTTTAGTTATTTAATTAAAGATGAAATGAAAACAGAAGGGAGAAAAAAAAGCAGAAAAAAGGAAAAAGGAAAAAAGAAAAAGTAAGGTGTAAGGAACGCGGAATCACCCAATGTCAATGGGGCAATCTTTGAGCTTGCAACCAATAAAGAGAGGGGAAGCAGTGAGAGCTGTTTTTCTTTGACTAAATATTAAAGCAGTATTTCTATGGGACCATAGATGTCCCATCCTCACTGACGAAATTTTTACAGTACACCCGTCCTAATTGCATCTTATCAATGGATTGTACTTTTTTTAAGCACGGAACCACATGAAGAAGGGAAAAATCCTACCAAAGAAAAGTTA